AGTGTTTTCCGGTCAAGTCTGATGGGGTGCCATGCCTTGGCCCCAAAGCCTCCTGTAGGGCTGTGGGTCAGTGAGGGATGTTGTGTCTTATAGTGGGGCTGGCCATATGGTCTTCTCTGCACTGGCTGCTCTGAGCAGGGATATCGTCCTCAAGGATTGGTGTGCCAGGATGTGCCCCACTCTCTCTTCCTCCCCCTTCATTTGCTCCCATGCACTCTGATCAGACATGTCCCTCTCCCTGAGCTGTAGCTTCAGTGCTGTTCTCTGAAGTAAATTATTCAGTGTAGATCTCTTGACATCTTTTCTACCTTTGTTTCCCATACATTTCCACACTCTCTAAGTGCCCCTTTTCCTTCCTTTCTAAAGTTTAACCTACCTTGCTTATGCAAATGGAAGTACAACTCTTTATTTTTATTTTTCATCCCTTCATATACCTTTCCTAAAATAGGCATTTTTTTCCCTTCCAGTCCCCTGTCCTATATCAGCCTCAGGAATAGAAAACAGCAATGCTAGGAGAAAATGTCTCGACAAGTGGAAAGGGCTAGGAATCTGTTTGGAATGGTAGCTCACTGTGGTTGCTTTTAATCCAAATGAAGGACATTTGTCCTGTTTCCAACCTAGTCAAAGGGATTTCAAACGAATTCCGTATCCTGCCATATGGAAATAGCTGGGTTAGATGGCTGTTAGCAAACTTAAGCCTTTTTAGTCAATATTTTAATCTGTTTTTGATTAAAAATATATATAACATAGCTTTGTTTTATCCAAGGTTTGGGAGGAGTTCTAAGCTATAGTATGTGTACTTCAATACATCTCATAGACTAGAGTGGTGGGTTAAATTTTAGTTTGTTTTTCTAACATTAAACTATCTTCATCCTAGTTACAATTCCACTGTAGGTTGGATTGACTCACCAGCTTGTTCATCTCGCAAAGCTTTACATGTCATCCACAGCCCAGTTATTTAAACACAATTCAGGAATCATAAATAGAATTTTAAATGGAAACTTGAATGAGCAAGATGAGATTTGATACCTTGAATCAACTCTTTCAGCAGTTTGCCAAAGACCTTGTGGGTCTTAAAATATCCTGTTTCCTTACCAACCAGATTTGGCAGCCTGAGAGCTATTTCATTACAAATAAAGACAAATATTTTACTAACTCACAAAATGTTGATTTTTGTTTTTGTGTTAGTCTTGTTTGTTCTTATTTTTAACTGGAAAAAGTTAGTATGTTGGCCATCCAGCAAATAGCAGGCAAGAAATTATTCCTTTATTCAGCATTACAGCTAGTACTTTTTGAATACGGGTTATGTGCAAGCTACTATATTGAATATTTCTGGTAATGAAAATAGGAATTAGACTAGATACCTGTTCACAAGCAGTGGGAGGACTGAGACATTCTCACATGGCCAAGAGAAATCTTGCTAAAGGCCCTGGAAACGGAACATTCACGTGGGTTCCGGGAGTGGCTCAGAGACGATGTTATAAAGGAAGTCAATAGAGATGTCCATATGTGCAGCTTGGGAATGGAGAGGGCATGATCTCCACGGCAGAAGCATCTAACACAGGTCTCAGAATCAGTACAGTACGGCATGTGGATGGCAATCATGGCGTAGTGGTTGGGCTTGAGTTTCCAGGAAATCAAAGGGAACAGTTGGGGAGATGAAGCTAAAGCGCAGTGGGCCTTCACGCCCACATTCAATTTTGATAAGTAGTGGGGGATATTTTGTTCTTAATCCACTCTTTCAACAACTTCAGATTTGTGCCTTGGGTTAATTTAATTTATCTGGTCCTGGTGTGTAAGCTTGATTGTGGAAGAAGCAAAATTAATTGGAGTTTGGAAGACCAGTGAAGAGGGTGTTATTGTAATCTATTAAGAATTAGTGTAAGAGCTGCACTAGACTAGGAGAAGTAGGATAGGCAAGGGGGTATGTAGGGCGGGATGCTGTGCAGTGAAAATTGTGAGGATTTAGAACCTGATTAGAAAATGAGATTAAAAAGAAAAGGAAGCCTTAAAGGAAAGGAAAGGTCAAGTCTGAGAACCGAAACCCGTTTAGAAAGTCAGACAAATTAAGCAGAACAGCTGGTGGTGTATGGCAGAAGGTGGCTGCAGCTTTGCCAGTCATGCTTGAGAGAGAGTGTGTGTGTGTGTGTGTGTGTGTGTGTGTGTGTGTGTGTGTATTCCCCAGTGGGCAGTAGGAAATATGAAATTGGAACCCGGGAATGGCTTGAAATGTTGACTTGGGACTCATTGGCAATAAGGAAATAGAGGGAAATGTAGGAGTGGATATGAATGCCAAGGGAGAGTGGAGGAGAGAAGATGGCCAAAGATGGGACTCTTGGGGAAGATGGTCTACTTTTAGGCGATGGAAGAAGAGAGCCTAAGGAAACTAGTCAGCGAGGTCAGGGGCAGCCAGGGAGATTCCATGTCTTCTGGAGAAGAGTTTCCAGTGAGGAGGGATTGAGCAATGTCCATAGAAACAGAGAATCAAGGAAGATGAGAATTGAAGGAGGAAAATGAACTTCGATAGTTAAGTTTGTTGGTGACTTTCAAAGCAGTGAGTTTCTGGAATGCATTCGTTCTTTAAGTCTGAAGTTTATTTTGTTTGTCTTTGACCTATGAACCATTCTGGCTTTTCCCATGTTTCAAAATTAACATAGACAATGAAGGATGGTGCATGTCTGTGTGAGAGAAAGACAGCGCCTGGTGGGTCTTGGGTCCTGGTGATTCTTATATGAGCAGTGATGCAATTATTTATGCAATAGACTACCTTGCGTTCACATTTTATAAATAATACAAAAATATTGTCAGACAAAAAAGAAAATGGCCAGAATTTTATGTTAATCAGCAAAATTTCTACCCAAATTATTTTAATTAAAAAGATATTCTCCCCTCCACCCTTTATCCTTTGAAACAGCAAGAATAATGTGTGTGTGTGTATGTGTGTGTGTGTGTGTGTGTGTGTGTGTGTGTGTGTGTATCCACATCTCATACAAGGGGACTCCATGACTATGGAAAAATAAAATTAAAAGATAATCTAATTTTCCATGAACTTCTTGAAGCTCCTTTGTAAGGACCATAAGCCTCTGTAAAAAAAATAATAATAAAATAAAAAATTTAAATCAGAAGGAATACGTGCCAAGATTTTTATATCCTTACAGTTGTAGTTCTGGAAGCTTTATTTAGACCTTCCTGTCAATGTAGTAATCCATGTGTGAGCACGGTTGTGTGAGATTATATACCAATATATTCTGTTCCAATAGCCAGAACGTAGTTTACTTAGCAAGTGTTTCCTGGTGCCTACTGGGTGCCTGGCAGTGTGTTAGACTGCAGGGGTATAAAGATGAGTAAAACAAGGCTTTGCTCTCAATAACTTCACAGTTTAGTAGGCGGAGGGGTACTGATGGATGGAAAAAGCTTTAGAATATACATAAATAGAGGGAAATGCACAGGACTGACAAAAGTGTGAGATGTCAGTAAAGGGTTCAGCCAGTAAGACTTGCAGGAGCCCAAAGTGGGCAGAAGCTACTCATGAGCCAGGCAGTTGAAGGCCTTACGGAAGCTCATTACAGGCAGAATAATAGCATTGCAAAAAGGCCTGATAGATATATTCTAGAACAGCAGAAATTTCAAGATGGAAGGAACATAAAGTTTGTGGATGGCAATTACAGAAAAAAATAGGTGTGGCAAGTGTTAGTCTGGCAAGTGTTACTTGTGTTCGACACCCTCAAGTCATTTCATCGTGACCACACAACGTAGCTCAGTCTTGCACCATCTGCACAGTTGTTCTTCTCTGTAAGTCCACGGTTGTAGCCCTGGGTCAGTTCATCTGGCCAAGGGTCTTCCTCTTTTTTGCTGCCCCACTACTTTACCAAGTATGCTGTCCTTTACCAGGGATTGGTCTCTCCTGACATGTCCAAAGTACCAGAGATGAAGTCCCATCGTCCTCTAAAGAGCCACATTCAAGCTGTAATTCCAAGACAGATACATTGATTCACTTGGCAGTCCCAGCACAAACCAGCTGGAGCCGTCGGTGCCTTGTGACCACTATTGATCGTGCAGGTCTGTGCTGTCCAGTATGGTAGCCAGCTTCTGTACACATGTGACTCTTGAACATGAGTGGCTACTCATAAATAATATGAGTTATGCTGTGAAGAGCTAGGTTTCGACAGAAATGTAGGCATTTTTCATGTTAGTTAAAGGGGAAAGTTCTCCATGACTAGGGTGTCCATAGCATGTCTTCCACACTTGAATGCCTTTTGAGTGAAAAGGCGAGCTAGCAACATGAGACACTGGGACATAGAGTCATCCACTCCATGACTGGGAGAGAAGAGCCCTCTCTCTCTAATTCTGGGAATGTTGTAATTTATTTATGTTTAAGATTTGTCAGACCAGATATCTCATTTTTGAAAATCCAAAGAGGCGGTCTGTTTGCTCTGTCAGAACTGGGGCAATCACTCTGAATCTAGAAATAATCTTGTTAACAAGTATGTATTTTTGTACAGGTTTGGGAGCCTGATTGAGGGGGAGAAGCAAAACTTAATTTGATGAATGGGTGTCAGCAGTCCCACCAAATATGAAAAACGTCCCATAAATTGAACTATTTTAAAATCAATATTGATGGAATTTTACAAATATGAAACTCAGGACCAGAATTTTCAGTTCATGTTGAAATTGCTAAAGTACGTCGCTTTAACATTTTAGTTAGGTACATTTATTTCTTTTCTCTATTTGGAAACATTTTGCCTTGCAGGTTTATCTCAAGGTTAGCTCCAGGTAGAAGGAGCTAATGCTTGTCCTTTTGGTCTCCTGCCTGCTTTTCTCCAAAGCCATCATCCGCTCGGCTGACCTAGTGCTTGACCTCTTGGGGAAGCGGATTTGATATTTCTTCTCTGATGTTTCCATGACATCTCCCGGTATATGGTAGTGATCCCAAGAGCCATCGCTGATGCAGCTGATGAGCAAACCCATTTTCAATTGATCATCTTTTGTCCTTCTTTCAGCACCAAAGACCGAGCGATGATAGCCACAGGAGGTGTCATAACCGGCCTGGCCGCCTTGAAGAGGCAGGACTCCGCCCGATCGCAGCATCATGTCAACCTCAGCCCCTCGCCTGCTGCCAGGGAGAAGAAACCGGGGCGGCGGAGGCCCCGAGCAGATGTGGTGGTGGTTCGTGGCAAAATCCGGCTTTATTCCCCATCGGGTTTTTTCCTCATTTTAGGAGTCCTTATATCCATTATAGGCATTGCAATGGCCGTCCTTGGCTATTGGCCCCAAAAAGAACATTTTATAGATGCAGAGACGACACTGTCCACAAATGAAACTCAGGTGATTCGAAACCAAGGTGGTGTGGTGGTGCGCTTCTTTGAGCAGCACTTGCATTCTGACAAGATGAAAATGCTCGGTCCTTTCACCATGGGGATTGGGATCTTCATTTTCATTTGTGCGAATGCCATTCTTCATGAAAACCGCGACAAAGAAACCAAAATCATCCACATGCGGGATATCTATTCCACCGTCATAGACATCCACACCCTGAAGGTCAAGGAGCAGAAGCACATGAACGGCATGTTCCCTGGTCGGGTGGGAGAGGTGGAAGTAAGACAGAATGGGAGTCCCTGTGCCTCGAGGTTGGCCGCCAGTACCATTCCCTCTTTCTCGGGTGTGCGGGGCAGTTTCCGAGTGGACAGCTCTGTGGAGGAGGATGAACTGACTTTAACTGAAAGTAAGGGGTTGGGCCATCTTATGCCACCTTTGCTTTCGGACAGCGCGGTCTCGGTCTTCGGCCTCTATCCGCCTCCTTCCAGAGCAACCGACGAGAAGACCAGCGCTCCTAAGAAGTGTGAAACCAAGTCCATCGTGTCCTCGTCCATCAGTGCTTTTACGCTGCCTGTCATCAAGCTTAATAACTGCGTGATTGATGAGCCCGGTATAGACAACATCACTGAGGACGCCGAGCACCTCAAAAGCAGGTCAAGGAACTTGTCAGTGGAGTCCCTGGTTGTTCCTTCACCGAACACCCCTTCGTCCTTCCAGCCAGTCAGTGAGATGCTCCCAAGGAACAATTCCATTGGCGAGTCCCTGTGCAGTCAGTACAAGTCCTCCATGACCCTCGGGCCTGGGACCAGGCAGCTCTTATCCCCAGGGGCTGCTAGAAGGCAGTTTGGGTCCAACACATCCTTGCATTTACTCTCGTCGCACTCCAAATCCTTAGACTTAGACCGGGGTCCCTCCACTCTCACTGTTGAGGCCGAGCAGCGGAAGCATCCGAGTTGGCCGCGCTTGGATCGCAGCAACAGCAAAGGCTATATGAGACTAGAGAACAAAGAAGATCCGATGGACAGGCTGCTCGTGCCCCAGGCTGCCATCAAAAAAGACTTCACCAAGAAGGAGAGGCTCCTTATGATTTCAAGATCACACAATAATTTGAGTTTTGAACATGATGAATTTTTGAGTAACAACCTAAAGCGGGGAACTTCAGAAACAAGGTTTTGATGTTTAAAAAAAGTCATTTTACAAGGCTATATATTTTAAAACTATTTCCACTGGTGTTTCTTTGTTAGAATATTATTTGTAAGCCCTTTGGATCAAATGATTGGTGTAGACCTGGCTGTTTAATTCGATAATGAAGACGGTTGGTTGCATGTTGGAGTCACTTAGAGAACTGTAATCCTCTGTTAGCCCAGACGGTTTTTGCTTCTCTTCCTTTGGAAGCATGACCCCTTTATTAAATGCAATGGCAAAACACTTGAGTCTAAATTAAAACATTTTTTTCTCATTACTTTTAAATTCTTTCAGTGATTGCCATCGGCATGGAATAAAGCATCCATTATGGAAAAGGTAAGGTACCAAAGAATGAACTAGAAGCACTAAATTCAAATTCAGGCAAAAAACTTAGCCTGTATTTATAAGTGTGAGTACAACTCCTAGACATTTCTGAAAAACAGCTTATGTATAAAATCGACTAAATTATTTTAAAGGAAGAAAATCTGGTTTTCGTGCGGGCTAATTAAATAGCGTGGATCACTCATGGGTTTTGTTCAGTGTGAACTGAAAATATGTGCTGGTTAATTTTTTGTGATTTCTACCTAGAGCACTAGATACTATGTTTACAGCATCAACTATGATTTAATACTTTACCATCAAGCCAATTCCAACCTGAATGACCCTAGTGGACAGAGTAGAACTGCCCCCAGGATCCACAAGGCTGTGAATTTTTATGGAAGGAGCTGCCGCCACTTTCTCCCCACGGGTGAAGTCAGACGACTGGCCTTTTGGTTAGCAGCCACGCAAGTGTTTCGTCACTCCTTATGCCACCCGGCCTCTCCCAGCTGCGTTTTATTAAGAAACCATGTTTGTGAGAGCCGTGGGCGAGAATGTCAGATATTCTTAGGGATAGATATCAAAATGATACTAGCTGTACCTGAGATGTTCAGAATCAAAATTTCTTTGAAAACTGATTATAAAGTGAATAAACCAATATAGTTTTTAGAAATGTTACTATGATGATTATATATGTGAAAAAATTTTAATATCTAGTTAATGAAAATACATAGTATGCTGGTCAATGCTAACTATTCTTGGTACATTTTTAATTTTAAAAGTTTTGTATCCATCTTCATTATTCAATGCTCATGGTCATATCTTTATTTTTCTTTAATATTTTTAAGCTCCTGTTATTGGGAAAATGATCAGCTAATATGGACATTGTGTTTAATCTTGGCATACCTCTGGTTTGGTGGCTCACAAAAATGTAATCCATGTTGAATAACCTTGAAATTTACTTTGTTGTTGTAAAGCCTTAGGATAGCCCCAAAGAAGTTTTTAGGGTGTGAGCCATTTCTAGGGTTGTGGTCATTCGTTACTGAAGATGATAAATATCAAAATGGAAGTTCCCCTGAGACTATTGCCATGCTTTCCATTAAGGTGACATAATTTTAAGAATTGTTTAATGCAACACTCAGCAAATGTCACAGGTTGCCCCCCGCCACCCTAATGCCTCTGTGTCTCGGGACATCAGTATTAACAGCATGAAAGATCAGAATGGAGATACGTGTATAACTTCCTCCAGTTTCACCTCGCGTTTGCATCGTGAGCTTTTCTGGATTGAGGCACAGGATCACTTGTTAGAATGTCAAGCTTGTGTATGTAATAGAATGGGCTCCATATTTTACTATAAGGCATTTAATAAACTTGGTTCTTAAAAGACACTTGTGTTCTTCATACATTTCCTTATTTTCTGTAAAGTAAAATGTATATCTCTGTTTAAAGTAATTTTTCTAAACATTCAGATACATTCTAGTGAGAAGGGCTCTTGGTTCATTAGCATATGTGATAGGAGTTATATTTTTGTTTGTTGCTTATTTTTTAAAAGTTTTATTGGCATATAACAGTGATGTACATAGGGGCGAGGCATTGGCTTCTGATCCACATGGTCAGCAGTTCAAAACCACCAGCAGCTCCACAGGAGAAAGGCTGGGCTTTCTACTCCTGTCAGCAGTTACAGCCTTGGAAACGCACAGGAGGTCACTATGAGTCAGCACTGATTCAATGGCAGTGAATTTTGAGTTCCTTGTTGTTGTTAAGTTCTCATTGGCATATAATTTGCATATTATATAATTCAGTAGTTCGATCATATAAGAGTTGTGATTATCATCACCACAATCAAGTGTGGAACATTTTCTTCTTTCTTGTACTCAGTGTTGTTATCCCCCCCCAACCTATCATGTGATACCCCTAGAAACTATTAATCCAGTCACTGTCTCTATGGATTTATCTACCATTGAGTTCATATACAGAAAAACATATTTAAAAAAAGCAAAACCTTATAACAATAGCATATTAAATCAAATCAAAACCTTAATTTAAAAGAAAGCAGGAATATTAAAAACTAGAACAAATCTAAAATGAGTCAAAAGGGAGATCAAATGAGAAGGTGTTAACATTTTAACGCAGCTAAATCTGCAATAATCTCCTTTCCAATGCACTGTGTCTGATAGCAAGGCTAACAAAGTGGTCTTATCTACCTATTGGATTAGACTATTTTCATATGCTGTTGTGTTGGGGTCTTCAGTCAGCATTTCATTAACTCCCAGGAAAATATCCAGATACAGCATCCAGAACATGTCAGCAACACTCCCAGGTTTGACAACAATAGCTCTCAACTCCCCGATGAAACACAGAACTGAAACCATAGAACTTGCACAGTTCACCACTGAAGGAGACCTAGCAATTTGGGAGGCGTCAGGCAAGGTGGGGCCCAAAGGCTCCACCTCTGGTTGTAGCTTTTTCTCAACCTTCTCTCCATTAAGATGTTTGCTATTTAAAAGTCTCCCAAGCAAGTCAACTTTATTAAATTAGAAGTTTCACATTTTAAGTGAATCAACGACATTTGTTGGCAATTAAACTTCAAATGAGTTTCAGATAGCTAATCTTACCATATTGATTTGCTGTAATTCTACCCCAAAGCAATGAAACCTAGGGGCTTAATTATATTATATTTTATTTATTTCATAAAGCTTTTACAAATGATTCTGTACTCCTTTTTTCTTCTTCTAGAAAACCCCTGGAGTCTGGCTCCTGGGCTAGCTGCCTGTCACCCAAACAGCTCAAGGGTGCTCCTTGAAACCAGTAGGCCTCCGATGGTTTTAGCACTCCAGCTGTGTAGCCTGGGTAAACCACTTAATTTCTTAATTCAATTAGTTTCTTCATTTCAAGAAATTGGATACCCCAACTGTGAAGTGAGATGAGTCAGAATTTCAAATATAAAGCCCTTTCCAGCTCTAAGGGTCCCTGGGCCCTTGCGTCCCCCAGACGAAGGAGACTTTGTTACCCTTTCCAGCTGTTTGCTTCTCAACTGTTGAAGGACAGGAACTGTGGTAGGTTAGTAAGGCTCATGGATGTTTGGTCCAGATGTCCAAGGGTAAATCTGAACTCTGCCACCTTCTAGGCGAGTGGGCATGAACACCGATCCGCCAGAAATGCTGAGACCAATGATGAAAGCCTATCAGTGTGTACCAACCAAGTGCCCATCCTGGCTGCTGGGAGTTAAATGGGTTCATGCTTATAAGGGGTGCAGGATAGCACCTGGGTGGGCAAGGAATGGGCACTTCCTATGTGCTGTTCTGTTACTGCCTGCAAATGTCATTTAGGTCTTGCAGGACTGGCTAGACCGGAGGAGGTACACTGGTACAGATAGGAACTGAAAATACAGGGAATCCAGGACGGATGAGCCCTATAGGACCAGTGGTGTGAGTGGCGAAACAGGGAGGGTAAAGGGAGAATGGGTAGGAAAGAGGGAACCGATTACATGGAACTGTGTGTGACCTCCTCCCTGGGGGACAGACAGCCAAAAAGTGGATGAAGGGAGACGTCGGACAGGGCAAGATATGACAAAATACCCATTTATAAACTATCAAGGGCTCATGCGGGAGGGGGGAGCGGGGAGGGAGGGGAAAAATGAGGACCTAATGTCGGGGGTTTAAATGGAGAGAAAATGTTTTGAGAAACGATGTACAAATGCGCTTTACACAATTGATGTGTGTATGGATTGGGATAACAGTTGTATGAGCCCCTAATAAAATGTTAAAAAAAAAAATGTCATTTAGGATCTTTTCAGATCTTTCCCGTGTCCCCTCCCTATCCCAACCATATTCCCTGTGGTAGCATAAATAATGGAATTTTAAAAGGGGTCTTTGTGATACAGTGGGTTAAATGTTGGCCACTAACTGCAAGAAAACCGTGGGGTTGAAGTTTTGTTTTGCTTTTGTTTTGGGTAAAGATGTCCCGTGAGCCCTCATGGTAGCATGATGAAAGCCCCTGGCTGCTATTATAAGGTCGGTGGCTGGGAGTCACCGGCTGTTCTGTGGGAGAAAGATGTGGCGGCTTTGGTGAAGACTGGCAGTCTTGGACCCCTGAGCAGTTCTAACACTGTCCTACAGAGCCGCTGTGCTTCAGAATGAACTCGACAGTAGTCTGTTGGGTATGGTTTGTAAAGATGGCCACATCGTAATTTCAGCTGGGGACCTTGAGAAGGGGACAGTGGCTGGGTTTTTCCATTGGTTCCAGTTCCTAAGAGGGAGACATAAGTGAAGGTGACTATGGAGGAAAACATGCTCTTACTGAAGCAGAGGAAGGCTTGAAGATGGTGAAGTGCTGGCTTTGAAGATGGAGGAGCCGGACCAGGAGCTAGAGCAGGTGTCAGCAAACCAGCTCTCAAGCCATGTGTGGCTCTGTGGGGATGGACATGCGGCTCTGAGGGAAAATGGAGCGCTTTTAAAGATATCATTAGATAACGATATTTATTTGTAAAAATATTCTTTTGGCTCTTGAGTAATTTTTCATTTGTGAGGGACAGGAGTGGCTCTTCCATCTCAAGCGTTTGCTGACCCGAGTAAAGAATGCAGCACTAGGCAGATTCTTCCCGAGTCTACAGAGAATGAGCTCCATGGACACATGCCTTTAGTGCAGTGAAACTGGTTTACGACTTAATACTCTGAGAAAGTTCATCTGTGTTGCTTTGAGCCACTAAGTTTGTGGTCATTTGTTCAGCAGCCATAAGAAACAAACACCCAGCAAGCTAAAACTTCAGAACAGCAAGTTAGGAAGTAGCAGATTTGTGAGCAGGGTCCAAAGCTGAGTATGAGTGTATGATCAACTTTAAGTTTATGTTAACACCCGTCATCTCAATGCAAAGGTAATCATTTATTTATTTATTTATTTATTTTTAATCGTTTTATTAGGGGCTCATACAACTCATCACAATCCATACATACATCAATTGTGTAAAGCACATTTGTACATCCATTGCCCTCATCGTTCTCAAAACATTTGTTCTCCACCTAAGCCCCTGGCATCAGCTCCTCATTTTTCCCCCTCCCTCCCCGCTCCCCCCTCCCTAATGAACCCTTGATAATTTAGAAATCATTATTTTGTCATATCTTGCCCTGTCCGACGTCTCGCTTCAACCACTTTTCTGTTGTCCATCCCCCAGAGAGGAGGTCACATGTAGATCCTTGTAATCAGTTCCCCCTTTCCAACCCACCTTCACTCTACGCTCCCAGTATCGCCACTCACACTACTGGTCCTGAAGGGATCATCTGCCCTGGATTCCCTGTGTTTGCAGTTCCTATCTGTACCAGTGTACATCCTCTGGTCAAGCCAGACTTGCGAGGTGGAATCAGACCATGATAGTGGGGGGCAGAGGAAGCATTTAGGAACTAGAGGAAAGTTGTATTTTTCATCGTTGCTACATCACACCTTGACTGGCTCATCTCCTCCCTGAGACCCCTTTGCAAGGGATCTCCAGTGGCCTACAAATGGGCTTTGAGTCTCCACTCCACACTCCTCACCTCATTCACTGTAGTTTAAAGATTTTTTTGTTCTGATGATGCCTTATACCTGATCCCTTCGACACCTCGTGATCACACAGGCTGGTATGCTTCTTCCATGTGGGCTTTGTTGCTTCTGAGCTGGATGGCTGCTTGTTTACCTTCAAGCTTTTAAGACCCCAGATGCTATATCTTTTGATAGCCGGGCACCATCAGCTTTCTTCACCACATTTGCTTATTCACCCGCTTTGTCTTCAGCAGTTGTGTCAGGAAGGTGAGCATCATAGAATGCCAATTTAATAGAAGAAAGTATTCTTGCGTTGAGGGAGTACTTGAGTGGAGGCCCAATGTCCTTCTGCTACCTTAATACTAAACCTATAAATGTATGCACATAGATCTATTTCCCCATCCTCATATATAAATATATTTGTATATGTACATGACTTTATCTAGCCCTCTATAAATGCCCTTTGCCTCCCAGTTCTTTCCTCTATTTCCCTTGACTTTCCTCCTGTCCCACTATCATGCTCAGTCCCCACCAGGGTTTCCGTAATTCCTCTTTGTTACATTATCCTTGAGTAAAGGTAATAATTTAAACCAAAAGGTAAGGCACCCTTGAAGCAAGAGATCACTGGTTTCTGACAGGATAAAACACGTAAGACCCGATAGTTGACCAAAGAACAGTCATCGGTCTAAAATGCTTTCAGATTTAATTTGTTTCTACTTATATAATTTTGTTCTTGCACAACATTGATTTGAATATGATTCCTTGGCACTCGGTGAGAGTAGAACTATCCCATAACATTTACACATGTAAACAACCCGACCTTTCTCCCAGTGAGCTGCTGGCTGGGTGTCGGCCTCCACCCT